ATGAAAAAAGTCGATAAAACGTCAGAATAATTCGGACTAACCTTTTTGTAGATTTGAAGGCTGCCTGAATTTCTGTCGTCCAGCTTGTACCAAGCTGTGAAGCACTGGTCCTGGTTGGCTGGTACCGTCATCGACTCGATCCGTGAAGTCTGATCAACTAAGGTCGGGGACGATCCTAAATACAGATACTTACCTGTGGCTGAAAAACCCATAATATATCGCAGTCAACAACATAGAAATTACTAATAGATGTTATATGTCCCAGGAAATACGCTTATGAATTCAAAGATATCGACACATGACACAAAGATACACCGACATTGGTTTTGTTCTTCATAATTTTGAAAACGTATTCAGGGAGACTTCTAAGATGGCAATTATCATAACATTTTGTTTGACGACTGCAAAGACATTTCTGTTTGATAGGTAAGTAACAAGGATGAAACGAGTCGAGACTCTTGACAAAACATGTTGTTTCCAGGAACGCTACATAATGAATTGTACCTGTTACGAGCGTGTGGTCAACACTCGGACCTGTTGCGGAGGTTCCGGCTGATCCATAGTTTATCGTCATGTTAATCTTGTTGTCACGTGACTGGGTCCAATGGCAAATAGTCTGACTCTCAAAACTGCATTCCAGCACTTGCAGTGAATCTATGAATAAAGCACTGAACACTGAATCTAAGATTAAATCCTTGTTCAGTTCATAAACAATATCACTCAGTGACCGTAAAACCTTCCTTAGTCACCTGTTATAAGAAGGATACAATTCGCAACAAATAACCTGCATCCAAATACGTGCACGTGGTATCACCTATTCTCACCTGTTGTAGTGACGTCAACACTCTTCGATGCATTGCCATGGCTGTTTGAAGCCACACACATATATTGGCCGATATCGGATGGCTCAAGATTTGATATCGTAAGTATGTTCCCTGAAGTACCATTAACTTTACATCCGGGGTCGTTGATCTTGTACCACGTGACAGCGGAAGGTGGACTTCCGTCTGATAGACAAGTGAGACTAAGACTGCCTCCAATAGTTCCGGGTATGGATTCCTGTGACGTAGATATGTACGGTGCCTCTGAAACAAAATCCACAGTAACTTTACGTGAAGATTGTACACACGCAGTGAAACCTCACTACTACGCGAGTAGCCTCTGTTCATCGAATAGTTTGCTTGGTCTCGACCGGGTTCTTACATTATATTTTGGAAGTTTGGACGTCATATAATAAGATAATTACCAGAAGAGGATTAAGTTCCTGTGCCGTCACTCTGTTGTAACTTAATTATCCTATTAGGAAAAGGGTAATGGATATTTTAACGGTAGTGTAAATCTATACTTCGGTACGTCGATATCGAGCAGATTCATAGCGGAATATCGACAGTCTGTAATATATTTTAAATTTTATTTTTCATTGTTAATTTTGCATGGATTCAACATCTTCTTCATTTAAAAATATGTTCCTGCATTTTCCTATTTCTCAAAATTTACGTAACCGATAACAGTATTGCGTTTTGGTTATATATGATTAGACGTGCCAACAGCCAAGTTCATTGCTGGATGTGCCTCCATTTGTGTAATGCATGCGTGTATATTATGTGCTAGAGGCAGGGTATGTTGGTGCGATAGCGCAGATCTGATGCCGACTTTATACTGCTATCTCACTGAAATACCATGCCAAAAGCACCCCGCACAACAGTCCGCCCGGTCACATTATACTGACAACGGTTGAACCAGTTGTTGT